TCTTAGTTGATAGATATTTTTCTTTCTGTAGTTTAAAAATGTTGATCCACTCTCCCCTGCTTTGCGTTGTTTCTGATGAGAAGTCTGCTGTCATTTCTGTGTTGTTTTTCTCTGTGTATGTACTTTCTTTCTCTCTTCTGTCTGCTTTAAGACTTCTCTTTAACTTTTTCAGCAACTTGACTTTAAAATTATGAGGGTTTTGGTGGTGGTGTTCTCTCTGGAGGTTGTTGAAGTTCTTTATGAGTATAGTTTTCATCAGATTTAGGAAAAATGTGGCCACTGTTTTCTATCTTTCCTGCTCTTTCTTTCTGGGGCACTAGTTACGTTAATATTAGGCTACTTGGGGTGCCTGGGTGGCTCAGTCGTTAAGCGTCTGCCTTCGGCTCGGGTCATGATCCCAGGGTTCTGGGATTGAGCCCTGCATCGGGCTCTCTGCTCGGCGGGAGGCCTGCTTCACCCTCTTCCATTCCCCCCTGCTTGTGTTCCCTCTCTCGCTGTCTCTCTCTCTGTCAAATAAATAAATAAATAAATAAATCTTTAAAAAAAAAAAAATTAGGCTACTTAATATTGCCCAATAGTTCACTGTCTCACTTGCTATTGTCCCTCATTTCATTGTCCCACAGTTCCTTTTATTCTCACTGTGTTTAATTTTGGATTTTTTTTTTTTTTTTTATTGCTAGCTGTGTTTTCAGTTCATTAAACTTTTCTTTGAAGTTTAGAAAAGACTGCTGTTAATCTTATCCAGTGCATGTTTAATTACAGATATTGAATTTTTATTTCTAGAAGATCAGTTTGAGCCTTTTAAAAAAATCTTTTTGACTTTCAAGTAATTATAAACTCATAAGAAGATGCAAAAATAGCACAGAGAAGTTCCATATGCCCATCACCTATCTTCCTCCAATGATGTCATCTTACATAACTATGTAGTGCATTATCGAAACCAGAAATTGACACAGTATAACTAGATTACAAGTCAAACTTAGATTTCACCAGTTTTTGCAAGCTCTTACTTTTTTTGGTATGTCTTTATCATTCTGGTGGTATTTTAGCAAACGTGTAGAGTCCTATAACCACCACCACAAGCAAGATACAGAACTTTGGGGCACCTGGGTGGCTCAGTCGTTAAGCGTCTGCCTTCGGCTCAGGTCATGATCACAGGGTCCTGGGATCGAGCCCCGCATCGGGCTCCCTGCTCGGCGGGGGGCCTGCTTCTCCCTCTCCCACTCCCCCTGCTTGTGTTCCCTCTCTCGCTGTGTCTCTCTCTGTCAAATAAATAAATAAAATCTTAAAAAAAAAAAAAAAGATACAGAACTTTTCGGTCACCATAAATTCCTCTGTGTTGCTAACTTAGGTCTTTTCCATGCCCTTGCATTTCTGTTACCATAGTCATAGTTTTCTTTATCTTCTTGAATGTATGGGATATATTTACAGTATCTGTTTTAATCTCCTTGTCTACTAATTCTATCGCCTGTATCATTGCTGGTCTTTCCGCTTATTATAATTCACCTTGTTTGGGGGTGTATTTCCTGCTTCTATCATGACTAGTAATTTTTGATTGGATGCCAGACATTTAATTTTATATTATTTAATGATGGGAAGGTGTTGTATTATTTTAAGTATTGTTGGCTTTTGTTTTGGGTTACAGTTATGGCACTTAGAAGTTGCTTCATCCGGGGCACCTGGGTGGCTCAGTTAAGTGTCTGCCTTCAGCTCAGGTCATGATCCCAGGGTCCTGGGATCGAGTCCTGCATCAGGCTCTCTGCTCAGTGGGGAGTCTGTTTCTCCCTCTTCTGCCCCCGCCCCCCGCTTGTGCTCACTCTCTAGCTCTATCTCAGATAAATAAATCTTAAAAAAAAAAGAGAGAGAGAGAAGTAGCTTCATCCTCTTGAGGTTTGTTTTAACTTTGTTACTGCTGGTCCAGAGCATCCTTAGTCTAAAGCTTATTCGGTTTCATTGTTCATGCATTTATTAGCTTCTGAACTCTATTCAGTACTTCATGTCTTAAAACTGTCCTACTCCAGTTGATGGGAACATGAATTCTGAGGATTGGTCTGACTACTTTTCAGAGGCTTTTTCTCCAGATTCAATAGTTTTTTCACATGTGTACGCAGGTAATTACTCAGCTAAAACCTTGAGGGCAATCTGATTGTCTTCAGATCTTTGAAGCTCTTTCTCTGCAGCTTCCTTCTCTTCATATGCCCTGCAATTTCTAGCTGTCTTGGTGTCTCCCCTAGCTCTGGATTCTTTTCCTTTAACTCATTGAAACCATTAGGCTTTGATTGGGTTCTGCCTTCCCCCTCCTGTGTTTTAGCCTCATACTTCCACAAGCAGTAGGGCTTATTACTTCATTTGTTCTTTTTTCTGTTCTGTCTCAGGACACAGATCCTGAGATGATGTCCGTTGTCTGAAAATCACTGTTTTATGTATTTTATTTAATTTTCTAGTTACTTAACACAGGAGGATAAATATAGTCTCTGTTTTTCCATCTTGGAAGGCGTCTGCTTTATAGAAAATTTCACTGTAGTTTTATAAATACTTGTCTTTTCTGACTTTTGAATATTTAGGACTTTGTAGGAAAACCAGTGTATAAAGTTCAGTGAATGTAGGCAACTAGAGGGCATGTTTTCTCATACTTGTTCCTTTTCACATACTCTTACATATATACTTACATTCTCTTTCATCTATTGTGCATCCTTTTATTCCTAGTGAGTATCAACGCCATCTATTACTGAACATTTTTATTTAATACAAGATAATGGTGACAAATGTTAGCTCTTTATGTTACCTAGAAGAAAACAGAGTACCTTCATTCATTTTTCCCTTGTTTATCAAAAGGAGATGATGAGTCTTAGTTATTGATCAATATATAGAATATTGATTCATCTAATCCTTAGAGCATATAGTGGCTGCCGACTGAAACCCTAAGCCATGAAATACTTGAAGTTATCCCAAGAGGGAGAAACAAATGAACAAAAACAAGTTTTTCCTTTGTACTAAAATTCATAGTGTTCCAAAATTAATACTTTTCTTTTAGCTGGCAAGCTTACAGATTAAATAATAACTTTTACTTTTAATTAAGGTATTATTTAGCATATAAAGTCCTAATTGTCTTTTTATAACCTATATAGTTAGTTTATGCTAACATACATTAAATTACATTGAAAATTACCTTGCCTGATTTTAGATTTCTAACATCTTTTGATGAAACTAGCATAATCTGAAGGTAAAGTGTGCATTTTAATTTAAACATAACTAATTTAATAAGGGAAACATTTTTACCCTGTAAGAAAAAACTGAAACTTTACATTATTATCCACTGAATTCAGAGTTTCCATGAGTAGATTAATAGTTAAGGCAAGTAGTGTTTTAAATTATTAATTTTATAAAACATTAACATTAAAATGGGGCCAATGTTTTTTATGGGATGCATAATAAAATAGTTTTGCTCTCATTTTGTAACAGTCATTAAAATTTAAGTTGGAGCTGAATGTGTGTCACTTAACTGTTCTTGGACATCAGTTCACTTGATAATTTTATTTTATGAATAACCTTATTCCTTGAGAGATGATAAAGCTTACATTTATGGCACTAAATATACTTATGATTTAAAAAGTCTCTGTTATTTTTGAGAGAGACATACTTAATATCAGTGGTACATATAAATTGGTAATGAATAATTAACATTTTTGGCTTAGAGCCAGGCATCTTAAAGTATTTCAGCCAAACATACACTGTAAGATGGTCAAAATTAAGTAAAAGTATAGCACCCACTAAATTTGTGTTTGTGATCAAATATAAAACCAGAGATGGAATATAGGTTTGCAGTACAGGTTTTCATTTTGTGGATTCTTTTTAAAATTTAAATGTAATAATATTAATTTTCAATGATTTATTTTCCTTGAAAACATTTAGAGATAATCCATGTGTATGTGTGTGTGTGTTGGTTGGTTTTAATAAAATAGATTCATACTTATTATGAATTTAAATTAGAGGTTTTTATTATCCTCTCACAGAGTAAATTTCGCATGATGTTAAATAATTGCTGTAAATTTGAATATAATTTCTAGTGATTAGCAACTATTATTAGTTTAATAGGTATACTTACTACTTCACTAGGGTAAACATTTTACTAAAACTTAGATGAGGGACATTGGTCTTGAAAAGAGTGTTTACAAATTCTTTGTAGATACCATTTTTGGTCTTTTGTTTTCAGTTTATATTTATGAATTAGCATTTCTAGGGACTATCACCTCTGCTTCAATGATTTTTTTTTTTTTTTTTTTGTACCTGAAGTGCACAGTGCCTCATCATTTTGGATTTATTTATCTGTCCAGGTTAGGAAATGAGCTCCATTATTTTTCTGCTTTAATGTGAAAAAATAAATTCTATTAGAGCATGTACAAAATTGGCAGATTGAAGGACAAAGGCATCCAGAAAGTTGGCATGTGTTGCTCCTCTTCCTTGGAGTAAATTTTAATAGAAAATTGAATTAAGTTCACATCTACTTATCATCCTGAGAATATATGATGTATTCCAGTCTTATGGCATAGGAATAAACCTCATAAACTGAATGAATAACAGCTGTATAAACAAGCACTTGGAGGAGAATGATTTGAAATTACATGACTGAATCTAAATTAATTGGATATTTCTGAGACTAAGAGGAGAATATTTAAAAGAAAAAATAACGTCCGTTGAGGGCTGAATTTTTCTGTCCATTTTTTTATTCACCGTAAAGTGTCTTCCTAGTGTGTGAGGTCTGGTGGACAGTTTTAATGGGGGAGAGTAGAAGTAGGAGGGAAGAGTTTTTTATATTTAATAATTTCTCAAAGTATCTGCCACGGTAGCCCTCCTTAGATGGTTAAGGGGAAGATCAGTTATGATATATAAAAATCACTTTTTGTTTTTGTTTTCTGTATATCATATTGGATATTTTTGCTACTGTTCATATATTTACATGTTAGTAATTTTGACGGCTTTTGGATAATTCTACTCTAGAGGGAGAACTGGTGGGCGGTCCTTCCTGTGACACGACCCTTGAGTGACAGTTGTATTTGATTGCCTCCAGTACTGTGAGGAAAGGACACGACTCTATGGTGAGGACTGATGGACATACATTATCTGAGAAAAGAAACTACCAGGTAAGATCAGTTTTTTTTTTCCTTTTTCTCTGTTGTTCATATAGCTGCATTGAACTGTTTAATGTGTTATATTTAACTGACACCAGCAGATTAGATACACTTCAATTTGAAAAATTTGGCTTATAATTTAAAATACATGTGTTGGCTTTGACAGTTGAAATAGTTGGGAACATTTTTCAAAATAAATCATGCTATGATAAATGTATATTCTTTTAATGTCAAAACATTTTTCTGGTGCTTCATGTATATGTCAAAACTTAGATTATCTGATACACAATTTATGACTCCATGCTGGGTTCCAAGCTAGTATACGGTAAAACAAAGTGCTGATTACTTTTATATGAATTATTCCTGGAAGACTAAACCTGAACTCTTAGGCTATATTCAGGGTAATAGAGCATCACAGAAATGTAGATACAATTGGTTAGAATATAAAAGAAATAGAAGTGCACATCCCAGGGCGCTGAGAGACCCAAATTCTATTGAATTTCTCATTAGCTTGCTATCCTTATAATGCTAGATTCTTGTTTTGTCATTTATTAAGTTGGTTAATAATATCCATTCCCTATGTAGCATGTAAGGGTGCTGAAAGGATGGTTGAAGTGTAATACTCCTCTTTCTTTCTTAGGTTTTAAAAGAAGGTGAAAGATAGTGGTATGAAGCAGTGATTTAAAAAACATTTTTTAAATTTAATTTTTTCAAGAGAATCTCCTTTATTTGATAATAACTTATCACCAAATTACACAGCGATTCAGAATACAGAGTAGTTCAAAGCTCAAGTAGGAATAAGCTTTAGGCTTTCTGCACGGATACATACTCAACTTCCCTCAGTCCCTGTCACCTACTAGTTTCATTCCCTGTAGACTGTTGAAGGCAACTAGTGTGTTAACAGCTTTGATTCCTAACCATTTATCTGCTAATTAATTATTTTAGCCCGGTTAATCTTTTCTTCCCTCAAATTGTAAAGGTAAATAGTGGAAAAAGTTGTGAATGGGTTTTCATGGTGTTAATAGCAAAGAGCCTTTGATTATGAGATTTAGGTTCTGGTTTGGGCATTGTGCCTAATAAAAATAGTGTCAAATTATCCTTCCTTTCACTTAACCTCATGTCTGAAGTTTCTTGCCAGTGTTATGATTTTAATAAGCCACAGCTGTGGCTATGCAGAATCAGTTCTCCCTGTAATCTTTCTATTCAGAGTTCTCATAGACTTGACCAACATGGCCTTTGCTAATTTTCATACTTGCTATAGCTCTTCCTTCCTCACAACCACTTCCAACTACCTTGACTCATAAGATTTTAATTGGTCACACTGCTTGGGCTGTTGCATCTTTTGATAGGTTTTAAAAATTATTTATTTAATTAAATAATATTTATTTTAAGAATATTGTGATTCTAGGCTATGTGGCTTTTCAGTACTTATAATCAGGTTTGTAAAGTGTAAGTATAGAACTTTTTGTATGATTACACAGTATGGTTAATTTACTTCATGGAATCATCTTAATACAGAATTCCAAAATTTATATTTAAGAAAATAATAAAATGAAATTATATTTTACACATGAAGAGATTTCCTAATTCCTGCTCATTCTACTCTAAAAATACTCTCTTGTTCCAGTTATATTATTTATAACTAATCCAGGTTCTTTAACTTACCTGAAAAAATTCTTGGTTAGTGTTTTTCTGGCTGAAAATATTTTCCCCTGTTTCTTTTGTTGTTACTTAGTGATACTTAATGCATGTTGAAATATCCTTGGAAACAACTGTTTAAATTTCCGTTGTAAAATTATTTTATTTTTGAAACATCTCCTGGAAAGTACATGTATAGAAATATAATTTCCCATCTGATGTTGAGGCATATTATTAAAAGCATATGGGAAATTCAAAGGAATATTAAATAAATTACTTGTATTTTCATGGGTAGCACTAAAAGTTTGTATATGCTGAGATGAAAGGGTTTAGATTTTTAAAAATTCCATTTTGAGGAATTTTGTTGTTTTTCATGGGTAAAGTAGGATTTCTTTGTACCGATGTTTGCACTCAGTTTAGCTTTGAGGGTTTATGTTTTTGAAGGGTACTTGATGTCTTATAGTGATATTTAAACATCCTAATAATAGGCTAATATTCCAGAGTTCAACAAGAAGGATAATATTTCTCTAATTTTCATTTCCTTATAGATCTGATTGAAGCCTTAGGAACTTAGTTTAAGAATATGCATTCCCTCACCTTTGTGCTAAAAACTTCTGACTTTCCAAATGGGTGTTGGTTGAAGTATTGATTTTTATACTGGTATTTACTTTGTTTCATTTCTTTCTATAAATTTAGGCCCAGTTAAGTTTTTGGAGTTTATTGAATAGAGTAGTTGAGTTTTATTTGCTTAGACTGCTATGTTAGGTCAGCTGAGAATTTAATTATTTAAGTGATTCATAGCTCATTCTTTTTTTGGAAGGATTGTCAAGCTTTTTCCAGGGGATGTTTTTTGCTAGTATTTTCTTATCTTCCTTTAATTTACACTACTTTACTTCAGCTATAAGTATGTGCAAATCTAACCATGTTAACTAAGTTAATTACTAATTTAACTCATAAGTGGCTTTCCCTCTTTTATATAATAAAATCAAGCTCCTAAACCTATACAGTATTTCCACAAGTTCCAGTGTCTCTCCTCTGACTCCCTAGTATGAATTTTTCTCAATTAGGAATATAAAGCTGATTTTAATCCCCCTCCCATACACTTTTACACTTTTAAGCCTTTATTTGTTTTAGTTCCTCTTCATGTAATACCTCACCTTTGTTTAAATGATTCAAGAATTAGGTATCAGTACTCCCAGAAATCCTTCTCTGATGAGTTCAGTGCTCCTTTTCCTTGCTCTCATCGCCTTTGTACTACTTCTAGTTTAGTGCTGATAATAATACATTGTAGTTATCTGTTTATTTGTCCCTGTCTTTCTGTAGACCTGTGCAGTCTAATACTGTATGCACTAGCCATAGTGGCTATTTAAATTTAAATTCATTTAACTTAAAATTTAAAAACTTAGTTTCTCAGTTGTGCTAGCCATACTTCACATGCCTAACAGCTGCCTGCTGTTAATGGCTACCATATCAGACAATGCAGATGTAGAGCTTTCTGTCATTGCAGTGTTACTGTAGGTTATAAGCTTCTTGAAAACTGGAGCCATGTCTTTTTTATTTTGGTACTGTCAATACCTACCATGATTTTGGGTGTATAATAGGTGTTTAATGCATGTTGTTTCAATAAAATTAAAATAAGGAAATTAGTGAAAGGAAGAAGTGTAGTGTGTGCTGGGTAACATACTACTGATACTTCCAAGATTTTTAGATGTTATTCCAAATGGAACTTTTTATAATATGAGGTCATTGATCATGTCATGTTGGTTGGTTCAATGTTATCTATGTGGCTCTAATGCATCCCAGTCCATATGTTCCTGAAGAAATACCTCACAGTCTAAAATGCTGCATTAACTTTGTGGAATATAACATGTCACATTACTATGGCAGTGATTGTATTGCCATTTCCTCCTCCTTCCCCCTGCCATTAAATACTTTATTTCTTTTTTATTAGTTTTTTAAATCACAGAAGTTATAGAGGCGCATTGCAAAAGCTTTGAAGAATAACGGATATATAAAATAGAATGTGAAACTTTACTGTAACTGTTCAGTGCATCTTTTCAGATCTTTTTAAGTGACTATATAGGTGCAAATGTAATTTGTTGTCTTTGTTCTTAACAAATATGCATTTTTCTGCAGCTTGCATATTGTACTTAATGGGGAAGTTTCCATGTGCCATCATTCTTCCCCTGCCTCCTTCCCAGAAGTAATCACTAGCTTGAATTTTGTGTTTCATTCTTTTTATTTTTATAGTTTTGTTATATGTGTGTGTTTCAGTATATACAGGTGCATCTTTCCTTTATGTGTTGTGTGATGATTTGGGGGAAAGTGGTACTGTATATTTCGTTATTTCATATAGGAAAAAAAAAACAATGAATTTCCAGCCCACACAGAACGATTTCCCAGGTATTGCTAAAAAACTCAATACCTATCTGACTATTCACCCAAGTATTTTTGCATAATATAAAGCATTTAAAAAACAAGTTGCCTAATTATCTTAACACATACAAATGCATCAGTAGATGTGTTTCCATTCGGTTTGCAAGACAGTTACACAGTACTGTATACAAATTACATTTTTATCTTTTGTACTGCAGTAAAAATGTAATGTAAATAAGGAATGAAATGCCAGGTTTTTTTTTATTCTAAGTTACAATTTATTGAAAATTTATGTCTTTCTGCTGTCCGGATACATCTTACACCGTGGTAGCTTAGAGTCATAGTTGTAATATAATAGCTTATAACCATTAATGAATGGTTACCTTCTGGTATGACTGAAAACAGCACCAACATCAAAGCATCTTAGAATCTGTAATAGGTTAAAGTATGTTAAAGATACATAATATAAAGAATACTTAATAAAATGAACAAAAATTTTTTAAAAATGGGTACTTAGCAATTCAAGAGTTGTCAGAGTAGATCTGATACCCAGAGCAGAAAGATGGAGGCTTTCATCATTGTTGCTCTTTGGCATTGGGTTAAGATGAAGAGGTTAGCTGAGGAAGGAATTAGTTCAAAAATATGTCTGAAACCAATGAACTGGCTCACAGCTTACTCTTCTTTTCTCTTGAAACTCCTACAAACAAATGGCTGTAACCTATTGTCTGTAGCCAGAGATGAAGCAAGGGGATAGAAAAAACTCAAAATGGATGACTGTTCACTTGCAGTTACACAATGAGGTTGCTCTTACAATTATACTCTTGAATATGATGCTTCTGCTTATGTCACAATCTCGTTATCAACAACAGAAGTCCTTTTGACTCCATGACTTCAATATTTTCTTAATAAATTGGCATTTATTTGTTATTTTTGGCACCTCTTTTTTTCTTCCTCTGGCCAACCAAGAACATAAAGTTAAATGAATTCCCAAGGTACTC